ACGAGAAGAATGTTGACACACTGAGCAACTTCGATGATGATATTGATGAAAATTCTATGGAGGAGGACCCGGAACTAAAGGACACGGCAAGTGATTCATCCAAACCCCTCATCTCTTACTCTGGGTCATGTCCTTCTTCACCACCTTCTGTGATCTCCAGTATTGCTGCTTTGGAGAATCAAATGAAAATGATTGATTCTGTCATGAACTGTCAGCAGCTGACCAGTTTAAAATCCATAGAAAATGGATCAGGGGAAAGTGACCATTTGAGCAATGACTCCTCATCAGCCGTTGGTGATCTTGAAAGCCAGAGTGCAGGCAGCCCTGCAATGTCAGAGTCTTCTTCCTCCATGCAAGCTTTGTCTCCTGTGAATAGCAATAGTGAAAGTTTCAGATCAAAGTCCCCCGGTCTCAGTAACCAGGAAGAGCCTCAAGAAATACAATTAAAGACAGAAAAGCCAGACAGTCCACCACCCACAACTGAAAATGGAGGCGCATTAGACCTGACATCCACCAACCCGGGAAGACCGGTCATCAAAGAGGAGGCTCCTTTTAGTCTGCTGTTCCTGAACAGAGAACGTGGTAAGTTTAAAAGTACTGTTTGTAATATCTGTGGCAAGCCTTTTGCTTGTAAGAGTGCATTGGAAATTCACTACCGCAGCCATACTAAAGAACGTCCATTTGTTTGTACAGTCTGCAGTCGTGGGTGTTCCACTATGGGTAATTTAAAACAGCACTTACTGATGCACAAATTAAAAGAGCTGCCTTCTCAGTTATTTGAACCCAACTTTACTCTAGGTCCCAGCCAAAGTACTCCTAGCCTGGTCACCAGTACAGCACCTACCATGATCAAAATGGAAGTGAATGGTCACAGCAAGCTGATCTCTTTGGGTGAGGTTCCCTCGCTTCCAGCTGGAATCCAGGTTCCTGCTGCACCACAGACAGTGATGAGTCCGGGGATCACCCCTATGCTGGCACCCCCCCCTCGCCGGACTCCCAAGCAGCACAACTGTCAGTCATGCGGGAAGACCTTCTCCTCAGCAAGTGCACTGCAGATACACGAGCGCACCCATACCGGTGAAAAACCGTTTGGTTGCACAATCTGTGGTAGAGCTTTTACCACAAAGGGGAATCTTAAGGTAAGAGGCCACATGAAACTGTAAAGGCTTGGGGAGGGGGGAAATTAAGAGCACTGCTCTTGAATTCAGCAAGTTTTAGTGCTAAGTGTTTATCCCAAAGACAGGTGAGAAGGGACCTTCAAGGAAATGCTTGCTGTATGGTGGTGGTCGTTAAACTTTCACTGTGTAGAAGATAAGAACTGGAAAGTGGCTGTGCAATGATGTGAACTTTAAAACTGGTTCCAACTGTACATGCAGGCATGTTGTAGTTCTGACTGATGTGATGGCACACCCAGTCAGCTGGTGGACATGTTCCAAGAGTTCTTATGGACCATCAATGCAAAATAATCTTGCTATGAACCAGGAACACAGGGCTTGCTCAGCTCCTTGGGTGCCTCCCCAATTTCTATTTTCTATTCTACTTTGCAGCTGTTGCAGAGCAGAAAGCTGTTTCTCACAGATTTACAATGGGTTACTACAGGACTGGTTGCTCCTATTCCTGCCGTTTGGTTAACCATCAGGACTCAGCCTGGGGAAGACATTTTAAATGCCCTTTTAAAAAATACTAGATTTAGCAAATTAATCAGTGCTTCTGTGATGAGATAAAACATGAAAACAGACGGGATGAAAAAAGGAAAAGGGAAAAACCACCCTTCTCCTGGTATGAGTAATGCCCTTGGTAATCTTCAGCATGTGAGGACTTCCAGCTTGCATGTGAAATTCTCTAACCCAAGAGAGTATGTACCCTTAAATCTTGCAGCGCTGTTTATTTTCACTGAGAAGAAGCAGATGCACATTGAAAAACAACAATGGACCTGAGTTTTCTTTGTGTGGGCTGACTGGAACTTAGAACTGTGTCCTTACTGAAATTATTTTTTTTTTCAATGTGAATTAAAGGGCATTTTTTTTACATAGCAAGCACTACTCTAAGTAACAGCATTTCAGGCTAGACTCCTCACCAGAACACGCTAACTTGGGGGTGCTTCTCTTCCCTGTTCATTCTGCAGGTTCACATGGGGACTCACATGTGGAATAACGCCCCTGCACGCCGTGGCCGACGCCTCTCCGTGGAAAACCCCATGGCTTTGCTTGGTGGCGACGCTCTCAAGTTCTCCGAGATGTTCCAGAAGGATTTGGCAGCTCGGGCCATGAATGTTGACCCCAGTTTTTGGAACCAATATGCTGCAGCTATCACTAATGGACTTGCTATGAAGAACAATGAGATTTCTGTCATACAGAACGGAGGCATTCCTCAGCTCCCAGTAAGTCTAGGCGGAGGCGCCATCCCACCTCTTAGTAACCTTACCGGTGGCATGGACAAAGCTCGCACGGGCAGCAGCCCTCCCATTGTCAGTCTGGACAAAGCAAGTTCTGAGACGGGAGCCAGTCGTCCATTCACCAGATTTATTGAGGATAATAAAGAGATTGGCATAAATTAAAAGCATTCATTCCGAATAACTGTTGGACCTCTACTCGACACAACACTTGTCCTGTTCCATGTACAGCTTTTGAAGCTAAGCATTAGTTTCCTGACCTAAATGCATAGGTTCCCTTTAAAATTTTACCCATAGCAGAAATACATAACTTTTTGTGGCTGCTGAAAAGTTGTCTTGCAAGATCTGCATGGTACTTCTTTCAACAGTGAGTTTGACTGTTACTGAGAACTTTGAAACCTTTTAATTTAACAGAAAACAAGGAAACAAACCAGTTATGGGATAACTTCACTAGAAACAGAAAGAGGCTAGTCTACATTCACTTTGCTTCTTACAAAACTTACTATCACCTGAGAAAGGGGGGCTTCATTACAGCATTCTGTCACACTTATTTGCTGGTTTTTGTTCAAATTAGTTAGCAACTTGGACTATGTTTTTAGGAATCTTAATATTAAATAAGTAATTTAGTACCCCAATGCTGTGTATTATTACAGTATCCTTGTCTGTAGTATTTATAATGTTAAGATTATGCGGGTAACAGACAATATACTAGCCCCAAACTTAAATGAAGCTTTTGTACTGCAAAATACATCTGGCTATGTGATTTTTCTTTTTTCTTTTTTCCTTTTGTCCTTTTTATTTTAAGCAAGTTTTGTTTTACTATGAAAAGTGGTTTCTTTCAATGCAGGCAAATTTGTGAAGTTTTATTGGGAAAGATAGCATGCTTTTCATGTGCAAGTACCTGTCAGTAACAAACCTTTTTTTATTTAAATATTTGTAGCTGCTATGTGGACAGTTGTTCTATTAAATGAAAAAAAATGTAGTGTGGATTTTAGCTCAATGATTGGAAAACAAGTTACAGACAAACCTTAGCACCATAAATTATTCACAACATTATAAACAGTTGTGAGTAAATACTCCGTGTTATCCAAGCTGCACAATAAAAAGGTAATGTTTGTATAACGTGGTTGCAAACTCTTAATTTATACTATTGCACTTTTAGTATTTTGTATTAGGGAGGTTTGTCTATAATTTGAAACTGAACAAAGATGTCAACTATTTTATAAATAGTACTTTGACTTAAGGAGTAAGGAGGAGGACCCTGTTGCAGTTTCTTGTTTTGTTTTAAGCTCAAACAATGAGAGATCTCTATCAACTAAGCAGAAAATTGCAGAGAACTGTCAGATCCTTAGGAAATATGGGGACTGCTGTTTCTTAAACGGAAATGATTCATTTAACTTTTCTATAATGCCCACTTAAAAGCGTGACCACCCCTGACAGAATTCTGATACATTTATCTTAGGAGTGTGATATTAATACAAGTCTAGGATAGAGGAAGGAGAACATTATGTAGGTTTAATTTTCCTGTAATCTGTTCTGTCTCTTTCACACATAACCATAAGAAAGATGCTGACTGCCTAATAATAGTGGGAACAAAAGAAGAACTTTTGGGCAGCATGAGCAGTAGTAACACACAAATGCTCTGTATTTATTTCCAACTGTCTGATTATCTTTTCAGATTGCTCCAAAGCACAATGTACTCTGATTAATCAAATATAATTTTACGTTGATTGCATTGTTGGAATTACACTGAGTAAACAAAGGGATTGGTTCCACTCATAAGTTAAGCGGGGAATGCTGAGGAGACTGGGGCTTAATCAAAACTTGAACAGAAAATGTTTTGTGTACTACCTCACTTTTGTGCGTTACAAGTATGGTGGAGTTGACACTCTGAACTTCCGTCCAGCAGAATTGCTTGAGGGACATTATGGGTAGCTGGGAAACAGCGCAAGGAGTTTCATGCCCCTGAAGAACGAATCAGACAGTGAGGTCTTCTCAGTTAAGACTGAAAAATAGGACAATCTTTCTTATAAAACAGAAACCGTTACTGTAAGAGGATGGACAATTTCTGCCATCATGTAATGGAGTGAAAAGAGCTTCAAACACTTATTAGCTGTTTGTTTCTATTAGAAATGAACAATGAACTCTACAGCTCCATTTTCTACAATGATGAGATAGAGATATATAGATATAAAGATATATCTATATCTGAGCAAAATTATATATCTGTAACACCTCTACAATATGATATAATTTTTTGCCACAGTGTGTGGGTGGTTAGGGGTGTTTCCAAGCATTAAAGAAAAAGAAAACTGAGGTGGCTTAATGTTGCTGTATTTCAGCAATTGAATGTTTTTATTTATCTGTGTAATTTTTGGTGTGACTTTTTTTTTGGTTAGTATTTGGTACCATGTAGTGTTATCTCTATTCCCTAAAGGATGTGTATAATTAAAAAAAAAGCAGAAAAAATAAAAAAGAAGGAAAAATAGAGAAGAAAAAATGAAAAAGGAAAAAGACAAAAAATATGTATAGTGTTGTAAATAAGATGGTTGATGATGGTACAGTAAGACTGACCCCATTTTGTATTCAGGGTTAGGCCATTCCTCTCTGCATGGTGAAGAGAGACACTATTTTTATACTGTGATACCATGTAGGGCTAGGAGCCTCCCTGGAACAGCTGGGAATTGTTACCTAGATCCAATATTTTTTATTATTAAATCTTGTTGGCTTGACACATCTACTGATTGAAATGGATGTCTTAGTCTAGGTTACTATTTTTGTCATATGGAATTGAATAAAATGCAGGATGTAATATTATTTCTGAATTGCGTTCCTTGATTACTCTAATAACAGAACAAGATATGAGACTGAGGTCACTTGTGGTAGATTGGTGTCAATGACTTCTAATCATTGCATCTGGAAATCAGAGTAAGGTCGACACCGTATATTCAAACGTTTTTCTAATTTATATTAATAGTCCAAAGGGATAGAATTATTAAAATATCTTTTCCAATGAAAATAAATTTTAAGAGCATTTATCCCAAGGTAGTAGAACTAAAAAAGACACCAAAAAGAAAATTTTGGAGCAGGGAAAACAGATTTTGGAACGACTACTGTTTCAAACTGACTGCTTTCTGAACACTTATCCTGTACTGTCTAATGAAAAAGCCTCCTTTTCAGGTTGTTTAAACATCTGCCTAATATTCATGATACACCGCATGATAAAATTTGTGAACAAATTTATCAGGAGCAGTTCAAATTCTAAAATACAAAAGGGAAAAAAATTGACAGCTCGCATCCATTCATTCCAAATGACATAACCTATACGTTTAAACCCATGGTTTTATTTTGTCTTTTTTTCCGATATCCTCAATTATCAAAGCATGTCTAACTTTAACAAAATTATTTTTTCATATTGATTTAAATAAAAGTATTTACATTCTTAAGGTTAGGCATGTGGTTACGTATCTCCTGCAAAAAAGCTGTATGTTTGAGTAAACTCCAAGCTGTTATATTCCGATGGTGAATGCCTGCTGCATTTAAAACCGACAAAAGATAAATAAAAGAGAAAAATCTGTATCAATCATTTTTCAGTGGCCTTGTTATGCAGATACTGTGTTTTATAAGACAAACCCAAAGAAGGTATGAGTTTCCTCAGGTTACTCAATAACAATGACAGATTTGTGCTTTTCTTCCTCCATGCACATCCCTGAGTCTTGCTGAGAGAAAACATGATATGCAAAAGAGAAGAAAAGCAAAGGAGAGCTGATAGATATGTTTCTGTTCAAAACACAAGAGGAAAATTACCTGCTTTCCCCTCCTCCCCCCCAAAAAAGGATGAAAGCAGAATGGTATCTATTTTTAAATATGTATGGGTTATTTTTTTTATCATACAAAGACATTAAATAATAAAATATGCTACACAGATTAAAATGGCCAAAGTCTGTTGAATTACAGATGTTTAAAAGGACAGCCATGTAGGAACTCTACATATGATCAGAAAAACTGCCTGTTATGATTTTTTAAAGGGCAGTGTTCCAGAAAGGCTTTCAAAGTTTTCACTTCCATTTTTCCCATGAGTTATTAGACAGCATTTATGAAATTATTGAAATAACTTAATTTTTTACCCAATTCTTTTTATCTATCTATTTATTTTGTATCTCAGCCGTCAATATATTACCTGTTCCTTTGCCTGTTTTTTCCTTTCTCTTTTGGTAAAAGCTTTGTTTTTCTAAAGCTGCATTTGTGCTGTTTTTCTGTTGCCTTTGATTTACTTCTCTGCATGTACTCTGTCATTTGGAAGATACTGTGGTTTATTTTTTCCCTTTTTCTCTAATTCTGCAGAGGTCAAAAGAGCTGCCTGTTTTTTACGTCTATGTGTAACACTAGCATAATGAGTGATGGAGTCTTCAGTGATGTGATCAGGTATGTGCATAGCTCACAGGATTTGCTGGCAAACATGCCACTCACACTCCCTCCTGCAGATGAAGGCATGAAGCTCGTTAGTGCTGCTGGTATAGGGCAGCCACAGACGGGCAGGAGGATGGAAGTCCTGATCCTGACTCCACTCTGCCTGCTTTTACACCACTGAAACTCCACGGCCTTCAGTGGAAATGCTCCGGGTTTATTCTGGTGCTCGAGGGACTGCTTCCACTTTCAGATGTCTTGCTTTTCTTTATGCATCTTCAAAACAATGGCTAGGTATACAGTATTTTAAAGTATGTCTAAGCAAAAGCATTCCAGACTTTATTTTTAAAAAGAGGGAAAAGAGAATACATATATTTTAGTACATTCCACAGGATTATCCCAGTTTTAAAGGAGGTCCTGAAAGTTGAATCTAAAAATATATATGGCTGTGCCCCTTAATATATAACTTGATGCCATCATACAACAATTCACATAAATGAATATTCACATAAATGAGTAAAAGAAACTGTAATTTTTATGCATGTAAGTAAAAGAATGGGAGACTCTTGCTACAGCTCTGCTGCACAAGGTATGCATTCACAGGTAAATGCCTTCCCTTTGCAGATATGAAACATACCAGCAGACTTACGAAAAGAAAAATACATTTTTGTGCATGTCACAGGACCAACACATAGTACCTTATTTTTTCAAAGGGAGAATGTCTCAATCAATTGACAAAGTGACAAATATGAAAGCCAACAGATTTGGGCTGTGCCACTGACGTTTTTAAGGATGTGGGCAAGTTCTTAATTAGACTAATATTTTGCTGAAGAACAACATGCTTCTGGGGCCTCTGGGAATCAGGAACTCAGGCCTCTGGGAATCCCCTTGCAGCATCAGCTAGCACCTTGTAGTATTGGGATGAGTTGCCTCATCAATAAGACGGGGTAACACTTTCATACCTACCTCACAGGGGTGTTGTGAGGAATAGTTTTATGTTTGTATAGTGTTTCAAAGATGGAAAATGCTTGGTATTATCACTGAGTTTAGAGACTTTACAGTACGTGTACTATTATTTATTATTTGTACTCCAGTAGTACCTATGAGCTCCAGTCAGGACTGAGAGGCCTTATCCTAAATGTTGTACACTCACCTAGCTGGGACTGATACAAAATTTTACTCAGTAACCTTTTTCAAAGGAGATATTTCATTATCAAATGCCTATTTGATTACTATAGGGTTTAATTCAATTATTTAGGTATTTAAATTGATTATCGGTTTTAGGCTATGGCAGAGAATTATCTGGTATCACATCTTGTTTTGAGCTTCTATTGATTTTCAGAAAAAGTGCACCAATTTTCTATGGATACTCTACAATCAAATCTTGCCATCAGTGGAATTCTACTGTACTTTTTGCTATTAAAGATAAATATTAAAAAACATGTGTGTGTATACATTATTATACACCAATATACAATATATATACCTTAAAACATGTATGTTTTAAATTTCTTTAGCTACTTAGATTAATTTCAAACTGTGTGTGGCATATTTTGCTCAAGAATTGCCCATTTCAGATGCAACTTAAACATCGTTAAATGGTGTTGGCTCTCAACAAAAGACATATTGTTGTTGTCATATTTATGAAGGCTTGTAAGGAAAGTGTCTAAGTCTCAATGTATTAAAAAACCTTCAGTAAGTCATAGAAGTCTACTTAGATTATGTTGAAATAAACTACTACATCAGAATAAGATCACTGTATATAAATATGTTAAAATTAATAAATAATTCCAAAGGTAATGCTTGCTATCATTTGGATGTTGAACAGAAAGTAATTTGTTTCCCAGACTGGCAAACTATAGTTAATATGTTTTTACAGGTATCTGATTTACAAGACTGTGTTAAGCAGCCTCTTAACATCTGGTTATGTGCTAAATATATTGGCTCAATCAATTCTATTGATAGTCTTGGCTTTTTTATTGATTTGAAGGAAAGTTTTTGGTTCAGTTTTGATTGAATTGTCATCATCAGTGATGTTAGTCTCACTGATTTCACTCAGGCACATCATGGAGTAAACATAATAGCAAGAGTGGGTGAATCTAGTCTAAAGAATGGCTCTTTCTTTTCCTTCTGGGTATTACTGACATCTCTCCATCACCCCATCCCATGCTGGTCACCAGGAAACACACCATAGGTTGTCTTCCTTGTGTATTTATTAGCACTCACAGCTCAGTCTATTTTGTTGGACACTTGGCACTTGTTTCTGCTATGATGCACACTTCATATGGGACCCATAGATACACTAACATAAATATCATATTTAAGACATGGAGTGGAGTGAGTGAACACCTCTGCTGGAAGTTGCACATCATCACCTGTTGTGTGTGGCAAATAAAATGGGCACATAAAAGGATGTGGTCATCAGGAGGTTTCTCTCACTTTATACTCTCAATAATGTGCTTGAAATAGGAGTATTGGTTTGGATTTTGCTTTTTTAAACAATTGCTGTAAGAGCAGTTATAAGAAGATACCTTAAAAAGGTGAATATATATTTTCAGGTAGGAGTTTTGCAGGCAGAATTTGATTGGGACCTTCTTTTTGCTGCCCATTTTCTATTAAATGACTCTTCCCAACATAATCTTCTAGATAACTTCACAGTCAGAATTTAGTCCTTCATCTAGGTTTTAGTGCCACTATCCCATTCCAAACAGGCTTACTAAAACCAAAGGGCTTTATACTAAGACATTAGCTAATACATCAAATGGGTAATAGAATCTACTTCCCTGTGCACTTTTGAAATTTTCTAAAAAAAAAATTCAGTTAGATCTTCAAAGAGTTTTTCATGTATCTTGTGTCATTGAATGTGATATCTATTCCAATATTTGGCAACAGTCTGGGCCACTCTGCAGTACTTTCCCTTAGACTGTGTTGCCCAGTTCTCCACAGTTTGCCCTAAGTAATGCAATGGCACGTGCCAACCAGTATTAGTCATTAAATGGATTTTTTTTTCAATGTGTTGTCATTGAAAGTAAGTTATTACAATAGCTGCAATTCCAGGCTCACAGAAGGCAGAGTAAATGAGCCTGGTAGTCTCTGCTGCCTGCATAATCCCTCTTCTCCAAGCCCTACTATCTTTTTGAAGTAGTTTGCCAGTGTTTCCTCTGTGATAATGTGTCTTCTGATTCTTTTCAACAAAGTAGTGCTATATTCATTTCTTTGGTGTCATTGTCTTTCTGTACATGACCATGTTCTTCACATGTTTTCTTTTAAGGTTGTGATATATTTGCCCAGTACACGCATTTGTCCTTGTATCCTGTTGAGATTAATTTCTTTTTTGATTTTGGGGCCAGGCCATATTGTCCCCACTTGTATCTCCACCTAATTCCAATTAATTGCTTTTGCTATGAGTAGAAGATACTGCATAATGAAGCAAAATTCATCACTGTGAAACTTTGAAGGATTTTTAAATGCTTGTCCAGCTGGTATTACTGCACACCCACATGTTGAACACTTGAGTTTATCAACTTCAGCTCTTGGGCCTGTAATACATACAACTAGTTCCACTCTTAGTTCCTTTGTGTCTGGAAACTCTTTCATGCTGACCCTAATTTTACATACTTTTTAAAATAGCAGGATACTACTTTTCCCAAAAAATTGTATCAAAACCCCAGTCATTTAGTGGCTAATGTTTTCTATGCAACAAACAAATTGCAACAAGGAGTAATCAAATTTTGCTGTTATTTCAATGGAACAACTCACATATAATGCTGAGATGGAAGTAAAGCTCAGATAAAGGCTCAGTAAAGGCTACAATAAGAAGCCTTTACTTCACAAGTATCTTTATAAGTAGCTTTATCTGTATATCCCTACTGCTAAATTGAAGAAAAAGAGATCACAGACTGCATGATTAGCAACCAACATGGAGATCATGGCAATAGCAGTGTTAAGCACAAACACGGGCACAGTATCAGAATGAAACACAATAGAAAACACAAGAATGTAAGATACTAGCTTTTAACAATATACATCATAAGGAAACAGAACCACACATTTATGCAATTAACAATCATGAGCTTTATTTTTTTAACAGGGATTGACTTACCTGAAGTCAAGAGCATCTAAGGGAAGCCAAGCAGCACGTCCCTGGGTTCAGCTTCTTGTTAGACTCAGGAAACACTTTTTCAAGTTCAGTTGTTAAGGCTGGGGAGCTCCTGAAACCAGAAATGTCCTCTAGTTTATGTTAGTGTGTATGAATGTTGCAAGCAGATTTTCAGCTTACCCCTACTCCACAGTCTTAGAAAAAGGCTGAATATATTGTTACTTCTAAAGCTTACCATAGGGCTCCAAAAGAGGAATGAATATGGCCCTTAGCACATCCTGATAAGTGAAGCTATAAAAGGACTCATCTTTCTTCTGGGCACAGATATTTTACTTTCAACAGAATCACTCCTGATTTGCCCACTGGTATGGGCAAAATCAAAAGGCTGTAGTGACTGTGTCATCCCTTTTCAATCAGAGCAAGACAATTCTCTCTTTTCTTAAACCAAAAATTTTTCCGTGCGCTCTTTGTGGTATAAATCACAGTACACTCTGGAACAAGCATGGGATAACCAAAGTATATTCTATACTTCTGTTCCTGCCCTAGAGGCCACCTGTCCTAGCAGAAGTTGCATCCATATAATTTCAAATTCTTTCACTCTCTTGGAAGAGGACAGTTACATCCAAAGGGAATATTGAGATTGGCCCTTGCCCCCCAGGTCCCTCTTGGATATTGAATGGGAGTCTGTCTGCCCGCCTGTGTCAAAGCTTCCTGTGAATATATTGCAGTCTGGTAGGGCAATTCCTGGCTGCCTGCCCTGGTCCTGGTCAGCTCAAAGAGATCCTTAAAGCCTATGAGGACAAACATCTCTTCCCTGAGAAGTAAAACGAGATTTAAGGTGGAGTCATCTTCTATTCTGCTTTTATTTAGCTGTACTTTGGAAGTAGCTGGAATGGCCTCTATCAAACCACTCTGTTCAGCATCTTTCTCCCTTGCCATGAGGGATTTGACTCATGGTATGTGATTTCATAGGTCACATCTCATGCTCGTGGGAAGCTGGGCTTCTTCCACCAGCTGTAATGTGCAAAAAGCGAATCACTCCTTGTAGGTTTTCCGATTCAGTGAAGCTGCCAGAGCATCTTTTAGCACCTGTTTATTCATTATTTTATCTAGGCATATTATCTAGCCCACTCTTATTCCAGCATAAGGATGTTATTCATGGTTATTCAGGAATAATATTTCCTGAATACTTGTATAGACAGAGTAGTCCCTTAAGTAATGAGTTCAATTAGGCTAAGATACACTATGCAGCAATTCAATAACAAAAGTCCTGGGAGGTAGAGGGAGGAGAGGCTTGCCAATTGCTTACACACAGTATGCTGGATGACAACTAAAGACTCCGTGCTGTGGCATATTTGGCACATGCTGGCCTTCAGTTATGCCTAGCAACTCCCATGGTTTGAGCAGTTCCTTACTAAGGTTTTAATCAAGGAAAAAAGTAGCATGGTGTGCAAATTAGTAAGACAACAGGCTCCATTTGAAATCTCTTTGGGGATGTTCACTCTTGCAGAATACCAGCATCCAAGAAAATCAATTTATCTTCCATTTTTTCCTAAAAAAATGTCAATAGACAGTTTATTTAGCAATTCACTACCCTGAGCACAGAGTATTGGATTCAGAACTGTAACATTAGAAAAACGCTCTCAAAACTCAAAATGCACAAAATTTGACAGATTTGAATTAGGAATTACAATGGATTCAGTATTTGGTTAGCATTTCTCATTTCCATTGTTAAAACATTTAAATATTTATTCTAAAAAGATCAGTTAGCTGCATTTTAAATGGGCTAAACATTCTACCATGTACTTGAAAAAACATACCTTCATTATATATTCTTTTGCGAGAATAATACATTGCAAAACTGCCTGATCTTCTTTAGCTCTGCTTGTAGTCTAGTGAGATTAGTCTTCCCAGTTTCCATTTCAAGCTCCTTTTGAGGAGCCTGCCCTGTAAAGTCTTGCTCATTTTTTGAGAAAATTCCTGCAACATTTAAAACCTACTTCAAGTCATTATGATGACTATTCAAATGAAAACAATACCCAGAACCTAGCAACACTACATGAAAATAATATAGAATTAAAGTATTCTTATGCCAATACCTCTGAGTCATCTGCTTTTCAAGCTGCTGGTTTTGTGATAGCAGTGGGATTCTGTCTGCCAGAGCATTAAGCATTCTTCTCCAGCTTCTGAGGAGGTAACTGCCAGTCAAACCTCTTGACTGCTGCTGGGGCTAAGTCTTCAGAGGCTTGAAATATTGACAGAGATTTCTTAGCATTGATTTTTATGGATAATGTTAAAATGTAAAGTTTCACTCAAATGCTTTAAACGAATAACATTATTATAGTAGTCAAGCCACAGACACAAAGGAAAACTTCGGGTAATTAAATAAGAGCCATAAGCAGATTTCAGCTGCTGAAGTCATGCCATAGCTTTAGAATCTGTGCTGAGGGGCCATCCATGGTCTACAAAGTTTAGAACTTCCCTGTTGGGTTAGGATTTTTGAGCCATACCTGATTGCTCATTGACCCAGCAAAAGCAAGACCCTAACAGGGTATTGGAAAACAGAAAAAAAGCCACTGTTTCTCCATGGCAAGACAGAGATTTGACTGCTCTCCTGAGCACTTAAAGTTGATGTACTATAGTTTTCATTATTAGAGCATTACAGTAGAGCTGAAACTCTGCCAGGGATTTCAATATAGATTTTTTGTGCTTTGTTTTTAACTCATCTATATGCCAGTTCATTAACTTGAGGTAAGCTTTTCTCAGCTTGTATTTGACTTCTACTATCATTACTCTTATAATTGGCTTCTGTCCATGCTATTTTGTACACTGACAAGTTGTACTGTTCTGTTCACAGGA